CCCTACAATTTTACTCTTTATTAAATGAAACTTCCTAGACAAACAAAATAATCTCAGCTTATTTTCTGTTTTTAAGAGGAATTTTTTTTTAGTTCTAAAATATCTCTACACTTGAAAACATTATTTTGAAGAATTTGTTTTCCAAATTCCATTCTATATTAGCATAATTTAAGCTACTTATCACCTTAGTATGTTAAAACCTCTTTTACTCTGTATTTGCTGTTGTTAATAGGTCTGTTCTACCTGCTTGCTATTTCATAGAATCATAGAATCATTTAGGTCAGAAAAGACATTTAAGATCGAGTCCAACTGTAAACCTAACACTGCCAAGTCCACCACTAAACCATGACCCTAAGTGCCACATCTAAACGTCTTCTAAATTTCTCAGTCTTTGACCAGTCTAATTTTAAAATTACAGTCAACGTGCTTCTAGTGCTTGCCTGCAAACTTATACAACTGTTTTCACCTTCTTTAGTTAAAATTAATTTGCTTTAAGTGTACAGTGTATAAAAACCCAACACTTTTTACAGTATCTGTCATTCTCCAAGTACTATCCAGGGCAATACACAGTCAGATATTTTTGTTTCAATACTTACTTATTGCAAAGGCAGGGAGGGAGCGGGAGAGAAAATACATTTTAATTATGGGATGTATTAAAATCATAAAGAAAGATGGTTTCAAGATTGGAAATTACCCAGCCTGTGTCAGGGAGTTTGTATTTCAAATTCCAATCCAGTCCTGAAGCTAACTATGTATTTTTAAATGCCGAGAAGTAGCAGGAAATACAGGAAGGGAATAGCTTTAGAGGTTTTAAACTGACAAACAGAAGGGATTGAGATGGAAGTCCAGTGGGAGCCACTCTAGAGAAGTGGGAATGACATAGCAAAAGGGATAATCACCTGCTAGCCCAAAGCATGGTTATTTAATCCCTAAAAGAACAGTACTAGATGTGCAAAATTTCCAGTTCTCGATTCATCCAAATCTTAAACAGTATGTTCTCAGAGATGCATGAAGCTACAAGGCAGTAAAAAAGAACTTTTTGCCATACAAAAATACATATTTCCTCGTTAGAATCTTCATGCTCTCAGACAGAAGATTTTTAAACATTTACAATTATTCGATATCTTCAGCTCAATTTTGAAAACTGACTTCAATTTTAACATTAGACCTATAAAGATGTAGAAACGGAATCAAAATCTTTGCCTAAAACTAATCTAGTTTTTACCATTGTCTCCCGGTTCTGTTCCAGAACTTTTGAACAATAATGTTTCATACAATTATGAAGGAAAAGCAATGAACTAGAGACAAAATGGAAGTATTGTGCTCTCTCTCGGTTGCATTTATGCTACTTGATGTCAGGAAGAATGGCTCTAGGGAAAATACAGAAAGCTAAAGATTTTCTTCTAAAACCCTAAACCTCACGAGTAATCCTGAGGAAGAAATAGCTGCGTCGTAGTTCTGCATTTAGAAACATGCTAATGAACCATACTTATCAGATTATTATTCTTATTCTTTGGGTAGTTGAAGCATGAACAAGACAGAATTCATCACTGTTGCAGCATTTGCCGTATCGTTGCTGTTCCACATGACCCAAACTGAAGTCTGTCCTCCCTCCTGCAATTGTAAGTCTCTGGGAGAAATGAAGGGTTTGCAAATAGACTGCAGCTCAAGGAAGCTGACGGAAGTGCCTGCCTTGCCCGTTAACACCAAGAGGCTTTATCTACAGAACAACAGCCTGACCTCAGTTCCTCCTGGTGCCTTGGACAGCTTGCTCAGCCTGGAGGAAGTGAAAATATCTGACAATCCTTGGAACTGTGACTGTCATATTCTGTACCTAAAACTCTGGTTAGAAGATGTCTCTGCACCCTCTCTTGCAAACATCAGATGCGCAACCCCAGCTCCCGTGAGGATGAAGCCCTTGAGCCAGCTGACTGGGAATGAACTGGGGATTTGTAAGAGGCTTCTCCCAATCAAGTGTCTTGAGTTCTTTTGGCGAGACCTCATTTTAATTGCTGGAGCAATAATTACACTTATTTTAGTAGCATGGGCTCTGAAATTCTCAAAAAAGCTGGTCTGCCAAATAAACCTAAGCCAATATGACTCTAGGGGCTGACTGCTGGGGAGGCGTATCTCCAAAAACCGCAAGATACAATGAGCTGTTCACTACCGCTAGCTTGAACAGAAACATCAAACTATTCTACCACAAAAACCCACATGCACTGGCAACACTAGTTTTAATGGTGAGCAATGTACAAACAGATCCCAGGGCTCAAAGTCTAGGTCCTCAGATAGGCAAGCTAGATTTAATTTCCTTTCAAAAATAAGCTTGGTGATGTATTGACAGGCAAGTTTCATTCTGTGGCTATGTACTCATATGAAAAGCAGTTTCTAAATTTTTTTAAAAATCATTTAACTTACCATTTTTCCACTGAATTTTCAGCTCCTATTGCAAGAAGATTTACATCCCCAAATCCTGCACTTTTTAAAATATGGAGATGAACACCAATCATATTATTTTAGCAATTCTTTTCCTCACTCAGAAGCTGTGTGAGTTTGCAACCCATTCCCCCCTCACAGGGTGCCAACGGGCTTAGTACGACGATTCTTGTGTGCATCAAATTCAATCATCCTTTCCTCAGGTTCAGGAGTTCCCTGCCAGCAAAACCACTATGATTACATAGGCCAGCCACTGAACATATCCCATACTGAATACATTTAAAGATGGACTGGTAATGAGAATATAATCAGTAAAAATAATTTCTTATTGCTTATTCTCTAGGAAATTCAACAATTTAAAAAAGCATTCTATGTGAAATGGTAATAATGGATGCTTATTGAACATTCATACTCATCCAAGTTTAATCAGAAATATGTAGAATTGTGAAAGAGATCAAAAACCTGAGAAGTTTCCAGAGCTTGTCTTCTGGTTTTACTACTGACATTTGATACACTGGATTTTATGCAACAGCTTTGAAGAGGATGTACTCTCTTCCCTTCTCTTCTTGTGACCCCCATCCTCATGGAAAAATTGTTGTGGTGACTCAAGCACATTTTTTTTTTTCCCCTAACCTGACTATTCACAAGACTCCACAAACAGTAATTTGTGCTGTTGGTGAAGTTAAGCTGGTTAGGTGGAGATCTCTGAAGGTCTCCTAAAATTGCTGGCCATTCAATTTAGACAAGTTTTGCAAATGTTCCTCCTAGCCCCAAACCCAAGCTAGGTATTAGCAGTTATCTGCTCAAGACATTAAAGACTGCTTGGCTCTTTATGTAGCACCCTGTCACATGAGTGGGGTTTCTTGTTAAAGCACTTAATATCCCTAGTAAACCTGGTGGTTAGCTTTCTTCCGACAGGTAGCTTTGCAATTACTATGTGCTGTCACTTCCAAAAGATGAGACTCATTCCTAGCCACAAACATCCAAATCAAAGACAGCAGAAGCTCACAGGGATATTTCCAGGTTCCTTTTGCCCCTGACAAAGCACTTCAGCAATATGGAGTCAAACTGTCAATGCTGGCTGCTGGTGATGTTCTCAGCTTTAGAAAAGACATGCTACTCTCTGTAACATACCTGCACTGTTGGTCCTCTCTCTCCTGCACTGGCAGGGAAAGGCCAATCTGAGACATCACCACTTGTCAACCTAAACTGATGCCAGTTCAGGATGAGTCACTTGCCCCTCTCCATGACACAAGGAATGGCCACTGAGTGTGGTGGAACTGCTGACAGAACCTGTGAAGCGCTGAGAGATTTGGGGAAAGGATCTGCCTGTTGCAACGTTAAAGTCTGGAAATGATGCACAGTGGGGAACAAGAAGAGGGAAGTCATAAATGCAAAAGAGCAGTGGGTTGCTCGGAGTGCCAAACAATGGAAAGCAAGATTGTACATCTAGAAACAAAAGATGGGTTGAGGACTCAATTCAGAGAAGGCAAATAATCCAGTAATCATGATCTCCCAAGTACGACATTACAGCAAAGGGCTAACGTGATCTTTTCTTGTTAAAATGGGGAATATGATTTAGGCATGCAAAGGTTTATTTAATTCCATGTTTAGGTAAGCTACAATAATTCAGTATCAACATCTACAAATCAAGAAGAATCAGCTGCAGAAGAATCAGAAAAACAGCTGTAATGCAAATAAAGGATTGGAAAATAGATCTTAAAAGGATCTTAATCTATTTCATTTAATAGAGGAATTTAAGGAATGACAAGATCACAGCTTGTATGAATGTACATGAGGAGAAATTTGTTAACAAAGGGCTGGGAGTAGAAATTAGAACATCAGACTAGACTCAAAATCTAACAGTGAAAATAATGAAACGCTGAAACAGCTCGTCAAACGTTATGGTGAATCCTATAGCTTAACCACCATTGGACGTTTTTTTCAAATTGGCAAGCGCTACCTGAAATGAGAACTATTTTAAGAGACTTATATGTGACACTAAAACGTTATGGTCGTTCTTACTGCTTTGGTCACCTGCAAAATTTATGGTGGGACAGGCCGTGAAAAGAGACCACAATGGCAGTGTGCCACAGGGACACCCGTAGCGAGCACTGGCAACAGCCCGGGGAACGCACTCTGTGCCGGCTGCGCCACGCTCCCGCGCTCCACAGCGGCAGTAATATTCCACTCTACCTTCTCTCCAATTGCATAGCCCGCTCTTCGCCATGAGTACTCAAAGTGCAGCACAGAATTTGGGTTTTTTTACAGAGTTTTGCATCCCTGCTGCAGGAAGCTAACCATATAACCTAGAAACAGCAGGGCTTATTAAGGCTGTATTACGCTCCGGTGCAGGCCAGAATAAAATTGCGTCTTCAGATTTAGGTGTACATTTCAATCAGATGAGCACAAACATTCAGAATTGCTCTGGCTTTATTAAATGTTATTCTACATAAATAACCTCTGCAGGAGAGAATTTCAAAGAAACACATAGGAACACGGTGGTGTATGCACTTAGAAAATTTTAGAAGATCTTCTCTGCACTGAGCTTTTCAATTTTTTAAAAGGCAACCACCATTTTGTATTAATGCAGAATATTGCAGAAGAAATGCACTCTGCGATCTCTCATGGAGTGTTTCCTAAATGATATTTCTTGTTTCTCCATAGTAAAATAAATCATTAACACTACAAGCTTATCACTCTCTTCTGTGCCTATAAAGCTAGACATGCATTTTCAAGCCTCCCCCAAAAAAAACAGGTGATGCAACCCAATGAATTTGAATAGATATAGACCATGTCCTATACCAACACAACATTCAATATGCAGGTGAATTGGATGAAGTTATAACTGTGCATTGCAACACAGTCATCTCGAAAGTTTGCTTGTGTAGATAACATAGTAAACTGCTTTACTGAATGAACTTAGCTTTAATTATCTCTAATTAGCTAAATTAGCTTTAATTGTACAAACATAAAAAATAAGCAACTAGCATACATTTCTGCTTATACGAACCAACACATTAAATAAGATGCACAGAATACAGAAAAAAAAAAAGTATTTGAGAGAACATGTTTTCTGACCTCACGTGAGGAAAGAAGAGGGAATCTCCCCCATGGCAGTATTTCACATCCCACTAAAAAAAGCATTGTATTTATCGCTGCTGAAGCATTTGGCTGTAAACTGAAAAAAAAAACCCTCTGAAGAGGGGAAGGCTGGAACTGCTAACTAAAAGCTAAGAGCGACATTCAGCTGTTTATCTGGCAAGGCCACTATGTGGTGCTTAAGCCACATACTCCATCAAATTGCATAAATAATGCTGCAATTGCTAACAATGTGCAAAGACAGGAAAATGTGTCATTTATCTAAATGAAACATGCAGACAGCATTCCCAAGGGAGTTTGTAATGATGCCAGAAAGTGTTACTACATCATGTCTGCAAGAGTGCAAACTAGTGAATGTGTCTGTTTTCACATTCGTTGGTAACATAGCTGTAACTGCTGGGACTAATTGCAACTAAAGAATTATGAGTTTTGGTTCAGTATTTAGCAAGGCAAGTACTCATACTCAGAGTTACTGAGAAAGAACAAAAAATTATTTTTTAACAGTTCACTGTAATACACAGAGGAGATTTATGTAAACTGCAATTCCATGTAAACTCCAATTCAACTAACATGGAAAATATTTGCAGGCTTCATTTATTAAACAAGAATGGTAGGTGAATCACCTTTTTTTTTGAAATAGTAAAGATTTTCTTAACATTGAAGCAAAAAGGTTTGCTCAATCTGAACAACTTCTGCTTAGCTTAATGCTTGCTTTCTGTTAGGGATCTACAGTCAGACCCATTTATTCCAGATCCATTGTTCGAATTCATGCACCAGAGATGTTTGCTGCTTTTTGCCTCCCCTCCCCGTCACTTGACACTAATATATGTACAGCATTGTTTAAGAAAATAGCTACCCATGCTTATGTGAATAAACATAAAGGCTTTGAAAGAAGGATTAGAAACTGGGCACTTAGCTCTGACCTTACAATTCCATCCTGCGCCCAAACTACTCCACATGCTAGGGAAGGCAGTGACAGACTCTGCCGGGCTTTGGAACGTGTTTTGCCCATTCACAGCTGAAACTTGCAGACCTTTTATTTCAATAGATCTTACCACATTTTACTTCCAAGTTTCCCAGTTCCCCCAAACTTGATGTCACAGCATCTTGCATCCATGACAAGCATCGTCATGGGTTTGTGTTTCACCTTTTGGCAATTGGTTTCTAATGTATTTGGATTTTTTTTTTTCCACTTTGCCATTAATTCAATAAATCAATTGGGGAGAAAAATCTTTAGAACTAGGGGATAATTCCCACTAAAGCAAATGCAATATACTTAAGTTACTAGTTCCTGAAATTTGACTAAAAAATGGTGGCTACAAACATACAACACCCTTATTAAAGGGCACACAGTGTAGGATGTCAGCATGAAACAGGTGAAAATCACTAGTCTTGCTTTAAACAATTTTTTTTTTAATTAAAATCTGTTTTTGTGATGGGGTATCGCTATATACATCTATAGATAGATAGATATAGATACCTCTACATACATCGGGTTGCTCAGGTATCTTCACAAAGGCGTGTCTCACACGGCCCTCCAAAGAAACGTGAAAGAAAAAAGAATTTATGCACATA